GGATCTCATCTTATTGAAAAGTTTTTGCACATCTAAAGAAATCACCAACAGAGTAAAAAGAAAACCCACAAATTGGGAAAAAAATTTAGCCAACTGTCCCTTGGACAAAGTACTTTTATCTAGAACATATAATTTTAAAAAATCAAGTCCCCCAAATTCAAAGACCCAATACAAAATTGGGTATCTAAATACATACTTCTCTGATAAAGAAATACAAATGGCAAATAAACACATGAAAAAATGTTCAACATCATTAGTCATTCAAGAAATGCAAATTAAAACAACACTGAGCTTTCATCTCACCCCACAGAGAATGGCTATCATCAAGAAATCAACCAGTAATAAGTACTGGAGGGGTTGTGGGGAAAAAGGGACCCTTCTCCACTGTTGGTGGGAGTATAGACTGGTACAACCACTTGGAGATCATCTGGATATTCCTCAGTAAACTAGGATTAGAGGTCCAATTCAACCCAGCTATTTCCCTTTTGGGTATTTTTTCAGAAGAACTACAAACGTCATACCACAGCAATATATGTACATCCATGTTTATAACTGTGCAATTTGTAATAGCTAAATTGTGGAAACAACCCAAATGCCCATCAGCTGAGGAATGCATAAAAAAGATGTGGTATTTTTATATAATGGAATGTTACTTAGCCATAAAGAAAGATAAACTTGAGGCTTTTGTAGGTAAATGGATGCATCTAGAGACCATACTCATAAGTGAAATAAATCAGATTGATATGTGTAAACATTGTATTGTCTCCCTAGTATAAGAACCTGAAAGAGTAAATAAAATCTAAAAGATACAATAGATATTGTGAAAGGGAAAGAAACTGCTCAAAAGGAAAGAACAACTGGGATGAGGGAAAAGAGAAAGAAAGAAAGGAAAAAATATGAGTATATATATACACAAGATAGCTAGGACAATTGTGCTATTAATTTCTATTATGTTATTGAAAGGAACAGTTAATGTTTAACTGTTTGATCCATCTTACATGCCTATATTTGTTTATCTGAGTAACCAATTTGAAGGTACCAATATGTAATCCAACAACTGTTGTTATTTTCCTATCACCTTGTCTGAAATTCTGTATTGCTTTTATTTTTATGTTGTTCTATTTATGTCTCCGTGTTTGTTAACATGTTTTGGTTCTTTTATCTTTAAAATTTTTAAAAATGCCCTTTATAAATATATCCATTATTCTCCCTAATTGTTGCAGTGAGAGATGACTTGAAGCTACGTACCACATTCTACCATAGTAGAATGTTATAAAATAGCAAACTTATAGATATTTTATAGCAAAAGTTAGAAATCAGTTGATGGCCTATGACTATGTTCCTGCTGCTCGTCATGTAGCTAGCCTGGTAAATTCAGTCAGCCTTGACTGTCTGCATCCAGCTGCTTCTTTTTGGTAATGCGCTGGGCCAATTTGATTGTGTCCAGCTTGTGTTTTTCCTTAGTTAGAAAAATATATATTTTTTCCAACTTGCTTCAAGGACTTCATGTCTCTGACAGACTGGCCCAGTCAAGGACCCATTTAACTCTACTTATTCCACTCACACCCTCTCTCCTCCTTCCCATAATGGTCCTGCATTATGATAAAGAATTCCTTTTAAGTAAACCTATTTGCTTGACAACATATGACCCAATGCATGTAAGCAATCATATAATAACCTGCTATCAGCCTTGTACTTCCTGCTTGCAAACTGCATTTAAACTGAACTCTAAGCTGATTTGCAGACTGGTGATTTGGAACTGATTCCCACCAGCATAATAGTGTAATAAAAGTTTCCTTCTAACTCCTTGGGGCAAAGAGTTTTCCATTTGGTTTGATATTAGTTTTTCTGCAACATATCTACACACTAGTAAGATTCATGCCCATTTTGTTTTATTAATTTCTATTATTTTTGTTGTCTTGGGGTCTGATTTGATCCTTTTCAAATTTCTTGAAAAGGATTGTTTAATCTTGTTTTCAACTTTTCTAAGAAATACCTTTAAGAGTACAACTTTCCACATCAGCTACTTTGGCAGTATTCCATAAATTTGATGTGTGACATTTTGGACGTTTTCAAAATATTTTCTAGTCTCTGTACTGATATTTTTTGATGAATAGGTTATTTGCAAATATACTTTTTAATTTCCAAACATTAGAATGAGCTCATCATGGATGCCTAAATTTTTTTTAATCAGAGAACACACTTTGTATCATTTCAACTACAGTATTTGAAAAGTGGTTGAGACTTGCTTTATTACCCAGTACAGAGTCAGTTTTTGTAAGTGCTGTGTATGTGCTTTACAAGAATATGCATTCTGTAGTTGCTGGGTGGGATATTTGATAAATGTCCAATACATTTTCCTAAAATTATTTATCTCAAATGTTCCATTACATTTTTTTGTTGCTGAGCCTCAATGCCTTTCCCCAACATGAGGGCACACATAGGACAAAGGAGCAGAAAATGTGCTGCCAGCCTTCCCCCTCCTCATAAGAATTTTACTTTCAGTTGATTCTAGCTGTGTACTCCAGGTAACCTGATAGGTAAGGTGGTATGTGTTAATTATGTTATTAAGAAACTTTAACTAGTGTAAAAATGACACCTGAGTAGTAAACTGCATCTAAAAGGGGAGGAATTAAAAACAACTTATCAATGGCTAATAGGAAGTTTAAAAGAGATTCTGGCCTATGGGATGTGAGATTTGTAAACCAGGGCAGCTCCTGTACATATCCAATATCAATCTCTTTTCCTTGTATAGTACTTGAGCTCTGTAAATTGGGGGCCAAAGAAAGTAACCATGTGTCCTGTACAATATGGCAAGCGCGTCTTTGGAAGAGAAGTATCTGATGCTGCCCTGCTGGAAGCCATTTCATGTCTTATGTCTTGCTGAGTAAATCCATGCTAAGTGTGGGCTATGCTAGTTACGTGACCATGAACATTCAGTTTGCGCCTACCGCCAGCCCCTGCAGAAGATGCTGGCTTGAACTGGGGCAGGCTGTGTTCCTTGTGTTGTGCTGATGACAAGCCTGGTGCATCAGAGCATTCCTTGTTCTTCTTCATCAGAATAAGTTTTAAAAAATAAAGCTCACACATTCTGCAGCTTTGTCTGTGATGGAGTACAGCTATATCCCGAAGAACTCATAGAAAGCGTCTAGAGTTCTGATTTCTAGATCTCAAGAGTCCAATTGGTATAGCATCAAGTCTAACTCTAATCATTGCAACAGTAGGTGCCCCAGCCTAGGCGGCATGGGCCAAGTGACATGGAAGTGCTTCGTTTTCTTCAACAAGGGACAATCCGTTCACATTATGCACAAAGCTGAACGATGCCATTTCTCCTCCTCTCTCTGCTTCCTTCCCTTTGGAAAACAGACTCACCTTAGCTGTCGTTCTCATTCTGAGTTCCCTCTTCAATCGCCTCGTCAGGATCTGAGCGCTCACCTTCCTGTGGCTCAGCAAAGCTCTGCTGGAGCATGGCTTCGGTGTGCCCGTGGAGGATCTGATGGGCTGCGAGAATGTGCTTCCGCTGCGCATTCCTCACTGTGCCAGAGTGACAGAAGAATCCTTACTGTGAAAGTCTGGATGAAACCATTCCCAAATGTTTTTGAGAGAGCAGTGACAAGAATGATAATTGGCAAACCGTGTATTTTCTAACTGTGTACTGACTGGATTAAGTAAAACTTATGGGCTCTCTGTTTTAGAAGAACATCTTCCAAAGGTAAACACAAACCACACCTTACTTCTGGCTACTCCGTCTATTCACTGTCTGTCTCTTTCTGGTTATTTCCTCCCTTCCAGGCTTGCCTCCAACGCACCCCTCAGCGCTCCTCTGGACCGCCTAAATCTTGCCTTTTTGCAAAACCCAGCTCATGTCCCAGTCCCTCCAAGGGGTCTGCCTTGATTGGGCCAATCCACATTTGCCATCTACCTGCATGCATTTGTACACATCCATGAAGCATCAAAGCACTTGATGTGCATTACTTTGATTTCTAACTACACATAAGCGGTTACAAATGACTGATTACCCTTAATGGGACTCTTGTCTCAGACTTGTGTTTGAACCTTGCTTAGCTCCTAACATTAGAGGGTGCTATTGGTTGATGATAAGTGTCTGAGTTAATGGCTTTAAGAGGTGGTCCTAGCTCCAAACTCTAAGAATATTTGTTCCTGAGTCTTAGTTCAGACAATTTTAAACAACTAAGCCCTTGGGAAGGGAGGGCGTTGACATCGACTATGATGACGATGACGATGACAATGGTGATGATGTGATGATGACATGACCAGTTATCATTTGTCCTTGCTATATGCCAGGCACCGATTTAAGCTGAATTATTCATTTAATTCCCCCACAAGCCTAAAACAAAATATTAATAACCTCACTTTCAGAAGAAGAAACAGATATAAAGCAGTTAGACTACCTAACGTCATACAGCTGGTAAATGACAATCAAAGTAATAGGGACTTTTTGCTACTTGAGAATCAACTGCTTTACATAGGGGAATTCGCACAGCCCCTTACTGTACTGTGCAGTGGTATGAAAAAGTAGGGGCGGGTGCTGGAGCCACATAGATCGTGACTCAACTCTGTGAGATATGTGTTTCTATCACTAATTTTCTTAACCAAAAAATGAGACTAAGCCTACAGCTGTAGGAAGCAATCAAGATAATGTACCTTTTGAAATGCTTAGTGTACTGCCTGGAACATTCTGGTATTTAAAATTTGGCCGCTACTGTTATTTTACACCTCTCTTTAAGGTCTTTCCGATCCACCAACTTTCTAAAAAGTGAGCTATCTCAAAGTGGTCTATGTATAAATTATGTTGATTTTGGAGAATGAGGATATCTACTATAGGTAGTTTTCATGTGACAAGAAGAACAAAAGTTCCTAGTGTGTATTCTCTATCCATAGAGCTGTGATTTGGCATAAATATAGAGGAAAGAGCCCATGGATTTGCCCAACTTGCCCACAGACAATTCCTTCTGGGTTCCTGCTGTTGAAGGTCTCTCTCCAGATCTTTCCCCTCAAATCCAAGAGGATACAGTGAATACTAAGCCTGTTATTTTTTCATCTCCTTGAAGACCCCCAAGCAGAATGGTTTCAAGGAAGGCAGGCCTAACTTGGGATCTGGGAGAAGTAGAAAAGAGCTGCATATTTTCTTTTTTTTTTTGGTTTTTCTCCGGTACCGGGAACTGAACTCATGACCTTACGCTGCCAGGCAGGCGCTTTTGCCGCTGAGCTAAATCCCCAGCCCCAAGCTGCATATTTTCTTAAGGATCTAGAATTAAATAAGGTCCCTTTTATAATGTAAGGGGATACAGAAACCTGTATTACTTGGCTTGAAAATGAAACTTTGATGGTACAGGCACTTTTATACACTGCTCATGGGAGTAGGAATTGGACCAATACTTTTGTGGCACATTAGGTAAACTGAAATATAAAATGAAATATAAAATGTTGATTTCCCATTTGCCATCAACTGTACTGCTATGAATTTACTCTCAGAAGCATGGACAGGATATGTGCAAAATGTATTGATTTTAGTAATATTAAGTAATAAAAAAGCTGGAAGCAAATTAACTGCTTCTTGCTAGGAGGAATTGGTTTTAAAATCACACAACCTGCTGGGTGTGGTGGCACACATCTGTGATCCCAGCCCTCAGGAGACTGAGGCAGGAGGATCACCAGGCATTTGAGGCTAGCCTGAGTTACATAATGAGTTTGAGGCCACCCCAAACTACTAAGCAAGACCCTGTGTCCAAAAATAAAAGGCAGTTATTCATTCTAGTGTTTTAGAACTCTCTCATCCCTTTGTCCCTGTGTAAGTAATCAAATATCGCACTCTTCTCCTTAAACCTGTCCAGAAGTTCCCTGCACAAACCCGAAAATTTCCAAGCTGCTATCTTGCATAAACATTGATCTCGTCCTAATTGTACACTTCTCTCTGGGATCATACCTGCTGCCAACAGTCTCAGCGCTCTGAAAGAACCTTCCTTTTTAATGACATATTTTTCTCTCCTTCTCTGTTGTCTAAACACATCATTCTTAAAACCATGCCACTTTCACTTTTGACAAATGATAACTTGGGGCATTTATACTTCGATGCAGTCCCCGCAGGAACATGTTATTTATGACTCTGGTGGGGCAGCAGAATACATGCAGATCCTTCAGGTATTCCCACTTTTCAGCACCCACAATTCACATGTCCTGACTGCAAAAGGCTCCTACAGTTTGAATCACAGAATAAACCTCTTCCGGGAACAAGTTCTGGTAATCTGTCAAGCTTTGTAGAAGCTCGTCCCCTCTCTATTAGAGGAGATTCTATTCTATAATCAGACAGCAAAAAAGGAAATGTGACAAGTTCTGAAACAAGAAAACTCAGTCCTTAGTCATCACAAATTTCCCCATCCCTCTGCTTAGTTTTAAATTTCTGGGATACTGCAAATAATATACCTCACTTTAAAAATCCCAAAGCGATGCATCTCCGTGGGGCTCACCTTTCTCTTTGATGAAGTCCTTTTGCACCTCTGGGATCAGAAAACTATAAACCAACTCGGCAACAATCTCCTCCGACTGAAGATGAGTTCGTCTAAAAAAATTTTAAAAATTAAATGATTTCCTTTTCTCCCCTTGAGTTGCTGATTTATACTTAGATCTTTCTTGCTTGTTTAAAAAAACTCCACTGCCTAAGTCTTTTTTTTTTTTTTTGGTTTGTTTGTTTTTTTTCCAGTACCAGGAATTGAGCTCACAACCTTGCACTTGCCAGGCAGACACTGTGCTGCTGAGCTAAGTCCCCAGACCCCCACTGCCCAAGTCTTGCTGTCACGTTTTCCTTGACTGAGTGATCTGCAATATCACATTCCTGGCGAGCTAGTTTAAATTCCATGGAAAATTTAGATTTGACCCTACCCTTCATTCACTAGCCTACTAGAGAGGGAATTTTAGAAATACAGCTCAGGCATAGAAGCTAAGAACTTGGGGATCAAGTCCAAATAGTGTTGGACGCATGTATCTGTATGCGTTCAAGCCTTGGAATACTGAAAGCACACAGTATGAAAGTAATCCAGATTGCAGAGCACAGCTGAGGTTTTAATTGCCCATGCTCCTACTATACAGGGGTATAGGTATGTTAGCTTCTAAAGAGTTGTGCTAATAAAACAACAGCCACCAAAGCGTGAGTCTGTTTCTCTTAAGTGGTGAACTCTTACACTACTGAAAAATTGTATGTGAGGAACAGCAGGTGGGCTGTCCATTCTACGGTTGCTTCTCTGGGTATGTACCGGCTTTCCATCTCATAAGCGATGTCATTGATTTCCTCTGCCATCTTTTCTATTTCTGCTCGGGCTTGTTCTTCAGCAGTATTCTCTTCAGTATTCAATATTATGTCTTCCAGATAGGAGGTTACAGTACTTCGGTGAACTTTAATCACCTGCAAAAAAGCAAAAATGTCCCTACTTACTAAGAACATCTACTATAAACAAAGCCAGAAAAACACACAAACATCAGCTAACCTTTATTTATTTATTTATTTGTTTGTTTGTTCATTTTTTTGGTCTTTATGAGACAGGGTCTCGCTATGCAGTTCAAGCTGGCCTTGAGCTCACTTTGTAGCCCAGGCTGGCCTCAAACTCACAACGATCCTCCTGCCTCAGCCTCCCAAGCACTGGGATTACAGGCATGTGCCACCATGCCTGGCCACTGACCTTCATTTAAAGCCTGCATATTTCATTCATATAGTAGGAATCCAGTGCATATTTTATCGAATAAATGAAAAGCAAGACCCAATGCTATTTTATATCAGGAGAATCCTTTGGTTTGACATCTCCTTCCAGGAGCATCTGCACACCAGCTGCCCTACTTGCCTCCTTAAATATCTGGTCCTCCTCCTGCAGCCGCCAGTGCTCCACCTGGCGCCTGCCACTCTCCTCGGCTTCCCGTATCCGGCGCTGGCGCTCGGCCAGCATGGCAAAGGCGTGGATCCGCCTCTCCTCCTGTAGTCGCACAAGTTCTTTGGACAGGAAGTCAAGCATGTCTGCCAGCACCCTTCCTTCCAGGCCAGCCAAGTGGTTTTCAATCTGTGACACCTTAAAAGGAACAATAACGCAACTTGAAGGATACAAATTCCACTGCAAATGGTGATTTTTAGGACAGCTAAACTCCTGAGAATCAATTCACTGCCAGGACGCATCTAGTTTTTATTGGGAATGTTATCTCTCACTTGGCCCTATCCCAAGTTCTTACTAGGAAAACTGATTAAAAACTTAGATACGAACTATTAGATTCCTCAGTAAGTCACTGAGGATCACAATCCCCAAATTATGAACATGTAGCAAAACATTTCTGTTAGCAGTCACACAAATGTATTGTTTTCTTTCAATTTTATCCAGAAGGTCAAGAGTATCTTCCCAGGTATGAAAGGAAATCTTAGGGTTCTTATTAAAGATAATATTGAGGCTGAATACAATAGAATCTCCTAGAAATTCACTCATAATATCTTTTAATTTTTTATTGGTTGCTCTTCTCACACAAGGTTGAGGAATTTCAAGATCCTGAATAACACAAAAGTAGACAACTTTTTTAAAAATAATTTTAAAGTCATTAACAACTATCTTTGAAAGAGTACAGGAAAAAGCCTAAATTCTATGTCATCGTTGAGTAAAATAAGGAGCCCGTGGAGCTCCCAGCCAAGAGCAAGCCCTTGCATCTCTCTACGGATCTCTGTGTGGTGAAGCAAATACGTAAGATGATTTGTCCTGCGCCCTTCATCCTGTGCCTCGCCTACCCAAGGTTTAAGGGAAAAAGCTCTCGTTCCAGCCCTCTGCTGCTTTAACACTGGCCATCTCCCCTGCGCTCATTCCCCTTTCTGGTTTGTACATGGAGGGATGGAATTCCCACAGGTCTCAAGGGCAATTTGGCTAGTGGGTGAAATTACCAGCCAGGTGTAGTCGCCAGCCCCAACATCCTCAACCTCATCCTCACCCACTCCCTAGCCCACATACTTCCTAACCTCCAAGTTTAACTGTACTTATATCCTAGGGAACGATGGAAAGAAAGGGTGAAACTAGAGCATTTTACTACTGCACTCATAATGGACATTTGGTCCAGAGATCACAAATGGATTCTGTCCCTGTCTGCAGAGATCATAAGCTCCCTCACTTGGGGGACAGTCATAACCCTTTAGGTCCTAGATGCTGGGTGTGGTAGCTCATAACTATGCTCCCAGACTTGGAGGCTGAAGCAGGAGGATTGCCTCAAGTTCAAAGCCAACCTATGCTACACAGAAGGACTCTGTCTCAAAGAAATCAAACAAACAAACAACACTTCAGGTGCTAAGATGGTCACATGTTCATTTCCAGCCTCCTTCCTCAACAGGGACTTTGGGGACACTCGTGTAGCACAATCTAATTTGAAATTAAGTAAACACATTTAGAAAGGTCATTCTCCTGCAGTCACATCCTGTAATGCATCACGTAACTGGGCACTGCGTATTGGCACCATCCTACACCTGCTCCCCCAAGCTCAGTGACCATCTACGGGGATGCCAACAAGTAAAATTAAAGTCGTCATCATTTCCAAGATTTCTGCCATTTGTGCTCAACTCCCATGTAGCACAAAGTTATATGTGTGATTAAAGGTGGGTACTGTAGATGTTACTATTTTTAGCACTAAACTCTGTAAATTAATTGTTTTTCAGAATGACTTACAGATGATAAAGTAAATAAGACTAAAAGTATTTATACTATAGTGAACAATATTAAAAAGTGTGTACACTTAGACAAACCTTGGAAGAGAACAGCAAAATTATTTATAGTAGCTGGTTTACAGCTGCAATTCTCAGCTGCTTCAGGTAGCAAGAGAGGCCAGGAGGTCAGGACGAATATTATCAAACACCTTGAGGTAGCAACATATATTATTTATAGGCAGTTCAGTGAGAACGGGCTATATATGACTACAAAATTCAGCAGGACTGATGTTCTAAAATAAACCTCATGTCTCCCTTCATCATATTGTTTTATTACTTATTCATTCTGCTAAAAGTCCTTAATAATTAGAATACAATAGAGTTAAGAAAAATTGAATAGGTGAAAAAAGAAGAATCAAGATATATTATGTAATATATCAAGATATGTTACGTGCACATTCCCTGTGATGAATGTGATCATTATGTATATCCAAAGTGAACCAATAAAATTAATTTTTAAAATAAACAAAAGAAGTTATGAACTGTTTTGGAAGTTATGAACTTTTAAAAAAAGAAAAACTGAAAGGGAAAAAAGTCTCAAAGTTGAAAAAATGGATTTGTTTTGTTTTCAAGGTTTTTGCTTTTGTTTTTGTTTTGCAAAGAAAGAAAAAGATGCTATATTCAAATTCAGTTCAATAAATGCCACCCCCACCCCACTTCAAATTATGGACTGCAGCACCATTAAGAATGCTGATAGAGTATTGGGATTGTAGGGGGGTTTTAATCCTTTCATTCATTGTTTTATAATGTCGCTTGCGTCATTGAAACAAAAACAAGAAGGAGAATGGAAGCAAAGGAAGAGGGGGAACCTTGTGCTCGTGTAAGTTCCTCTGCCGCTGCAAGGCCAGGGTCACTTGCTTCTCGGCTTTTTTCAGCAGCTTCTCGTCTTCTTGTAGCGCATGGCTGGTGCGCAGCTCCTGGATCAACTCCAATCGCTTTTCTTTCCCCTCAAACATCTGTAGCAAATAAATCAAAGACAGATTTGCGCGTTCCCGACCTTTGTGCCAAACGCTAGGAGTCGCGCGCTGCCATCTGTGCGACATGAGCGAGCAGCGAGCAGGAGGTCTGTCCTGCTGGGGGACTCCCGAGGCAGGCCCGCTCCACAGCGCTGGAATTCGGCCCTCTCCTGCACCTCAGCTCAGCGCAGGGTTCTGTTCTCAGAGAGCTCTATGCTCAGATTCTGAAAAAGACTCTTACAGAAAAGGCGACAACTGTAAGGGCATATTAAGAAACTAGAATGCTCTCCTCAGTTTCTCGGGGTCCTTCCCTAAGAATCCTAGGGAATGGCTTTTATCACAGTCATGGTTCTGTTTTCAATAAATATGCCGCTGGTTTGGAACGCACAGTCTGCTATCTGCACGTCACTGGGTACTTTTCCTGGGAGACAGGAAAAGAAATTAAAGAACACAAATTGAGTGCAAGCTGCCTCTTCCCTGGCTCCCTGGACTGATCACAACGGAGGCACCTAGGAGTCACAGCAGTGTGGGAGAAGATGAAGCAATGCCTGGCTCAGGCTTTACAGTCAGGAAGGTCAGCGTCAAATTTGCTGTCAATTACTAAACCTTTCTCAGACTCAGGTTATTTGCCGATAACATGAGATTTCTCATAAAAAATAATTAAAATGAGAAAATATATGTAGAACAAAAATATATGACATGGGGATGTAATAGGGGTTTTCAGCCATACTTATTAACTATTTCATTTTATAATGCAGATATTGCTAGCTGTATACAAACTCAAGTAACTATCCCGTGTCTTGGAAAATTAGAGCATCCACTTGGTTTGTAACGCTTTCATGGTAAAAGTTCAGGTGAAAAAATCCGTGCAGTAGTTTCAGGGAAGAAGTAAGTTTTACACCACATTAGTCAGAAATGTGCCGAGCGGCACACATCCTTCCTTTTGCCTTCCTTGACCCTGCAACACCTGCCTAGGCAATGGTGGGCCTAGCAGGGCGAGGGCAGGTGATTCGCATATAGAGCTGCATAGGACAGCAAGGTGCAGGAGGGACTTCGCCCCAACAAATCAAGAATGTGTGCATTCCAAAAACATCATTCTCAAACAAAAGACATAGGGCCGGTGGTTGGCCCTACGTACCATGTTCTGGACGACTCTGCCACGCAGTAACCTCTGAAGGTAGATCACAGCCATTTCTATGTCTTCTTCTTCCTGAAAGAACAGAGGGAGAGACAAGCAGCTTGAGAACAGCAGCTGTCTACGTGTCAAATATTTTCTCAGGACTTATTCCAAGCAAAAGCGACAGTGCCAGACACCCTTGATGAATTTAAAGAGAAATAAAGCACCGTCTCTGCCCTCGTTGAACATGCGGTATTTTAAATGGTACTTACTACTCTTTAAAATTTCTGACTACTTTTCATCATAAATAATACGTCATTACCAGGTGATACTAATGTATAAAAACAAATCTTAGGACTGCCATTCGATCCCTGCAAGTGATGCCAACAAAATCTTTCTGCTGCAAAATCTTTTTCCAGCAAAGTCTTTCCTGAAGAAACAAGTATTGCTTATAATATCCTTTCCGCGCAGGTATTTTCACGTTTGGTCAGGAGTGAACAAAGAATATAGCCCGTCCGTTATTAGAGTGAGACATTCTCTTGGGAGTTTAACCTAAATTGGTAAAATCAGAGTAACCTGGGCAAGACTAACCATCAATAAAAGCCACTGTAAATAACTGTCACAGCAGAGAGTATGCTCTGGAAATCAAATGAAGGCTCCTCTCGGTGTAAAGGAAGCAGCAGCCCAGTGATGGCCTCAATATCTGTGAAAGATAGCGTGCAACCAGAGCCCTGCATGGCATCCGGGAAAGGAGCACAGCCTGGCCGGGTAGTGGGAGCACCTGGGTCCCTTCCCAGAGGCCGCTCATTGGGGGAGGTAACAGGCATTAGGAAGATCTCTCTTTGACATCCCACGATGGCCTAGCAAAGACCCAACGTCTGGAGCAGGGGCGGGCTACTTCTTGGGAGGACTGTCCTCTAGAGGAGGTCTCTGCTTGCAGTCAGACGGACAGCCATCACCAGCCGTTCTAGCTCTCTCTGTGGAGCAGTAACTTTGCACTGTGGCATCCCCGGCAGTTCCTTGTGGGTTTGTTCAGCCCGAGTCCAGCTGAAATCCTAACCAAGCCTGACGCCTTGCCCAAACTGAGTTAGGTGACAAGTGGCCTTGGTCAGGGTGACCCCTGAGCCATTCTTTGCCCAGATGCCAGCCTGTCTTGGAGACACCTGTGGCATTTCGTTCACTTTGACTCCCACAGTCATCAACCGCTCCCTGTGTGAAAAGACAGAATGTGATTGCTCATTGTTCGACCTTCTTTTCCTGTTTGGCATACGTGACGTTACCTTCTGATGCCTCCTTTCCAAGCGAAGATTGTTCATTCTTTGTGTTTTCACTCTTCAAAAGACTGGGTATAGATTTCACTTCATTTCACTTTGTGTGCGTGTGTGTGTGTGTGTGTGTGTGTGTGTGTGTGTGTGTGATGTTTAGTGCATAAGAATAAAGAGAAAATCAATTTTGAATCAGAGCTTGAGAAATGAACACTGTTAAACCGGACTTGTTTTCAACCCCAACTATTGTAAGAGTGAACTGACCACAATACTGAATTTAGCTCTTCCAATAAAAGTTTCAAACTTACATTGGAAGTCATTGTCAAGCTTGGGGTCGGCAGCCGAGGCTCAGGTATGGGCTTTCTCTGAAGGAAGCGTAGAGGTTTCTTTGCTTCAAGAACTTTATTCTTCTCATCCAACAAGGCCTGAAATAATACCAACAAATGTCACCTTGTATCTCTATCTTTTCTTCCACTATCAGATGCAGGGTGCAGATCAGAAATAACATCTCTGTGCTATGCTGTGTCAGTTTGAACAAAGTCTGAGGGACACTATGACACTCCTCAGGATAGGTTAAGCACTGGATAAATACAGTACATGCTCTTAGTGTATTCATTTTCATCAAAATTTGGCGAAATTTAAATTTTTTTCTTGGAATTTTTTTAAAGGTTCTGTCTTGCTTGTACACATAAAACCTCTAAGTCCCATTTTTTCACAGGGGCTAATTTGCTCTTTTAAATGAATGCCTGCACAACAGTAAATTTTCCTGTGCAGTAAAAGACCGAAATACTTTGGACGTTTTATTGTCATAGGGGAACAGAAGAGCACTAAATGACAATTGTCTCAGAGTAGAGAGATTTTTGTCCTTTGGTACTGAAGCCTGCATATCTAGAGTTTTCTACAAAAATTAATTTGTCTGCTAGTGAGAGTGTGTATGTATTTTTGCATACTGTTTTTTTTAACTTGTCATCACTGAAAGCCTTGCCAAAATTACACAAGAGATTTTGTTCATTGATTTCATTTTAGCCATAGACGAACAGTTTTAAAAGTACCAATAATTCTAATGTTTTGTGATTTTAAAATCATGCTTTAATTTTCTATCATATAATAACTTTACTGTTTATTTCCCATGAAAACATAAATAAGTGATATTTTTAAAACACCAAACTAAAAACTGGAAGTAGTAAAAATATGCAAACTATAAGAGCAATTTAAAACACCCTAACCGGGGGCTGGGGATTTAGCTCAGCGGCACAGTGCCTGCCTGGCAAGTGCAAGGTCGTGAGTTCAAAAAAAAATAAAACACCCTAACCAGTCGTAATGGAGTTTCTGTGTTTCTTCAAAAATAAGTGACTATGGAAGTTATAATTGTATTAAATTAATGCTAATAATTTGGATATTTTATTTTATTTTTGGCTGCTAGGGTAACTTTAGCCCTCAAACAAGCATTTGTTTTCCAAAAGAGTCTACCAATCAGTTTTTTTGTCTGTTTATAAAATCCATTGATTAAACACATTTGCTTGTTTTTGAGTATATTAAAATGTATTGTCTGATGACATTTTCTCTCAGTTGCACCATTTGAAGCAATCACCAGCCTGGAGTTGAAAAACATTTCAGGTTTTTTTGTTTATTTGATTATGCTTTTGATTGGACTTCTTAACCAGATGTTTTCTTTACTTGTGAAAATCATTTTTAATATTTTCTTTAAATTTCAATCAATTTTTCTTTTTGCCTTATATTTAAAATTTATTAGTTTGTTGAATAGGAAACATCTACATAGATGCAACAAAGCATCAAAAATATATTCCAATATAAATTATAGCAAGAGTGTCCTGAAAATATTGCACTGTGTCAATTCTTTTACACCATTCTGGATATTTCTCCTCCATGATTTCTATGCCATAGCTTATAAAGTATTTTTTAAAAATACTTTACCACCTGTACCATCATATCTCTGTGGTTTTGGATACTCAAAATAATGTAATCTTAAGACTAACATAAACTGGAATGTCTGTTTATCAGCTGACACTCAGTGACTCTCTTCAGTATTCAAAATTGAGAGTCCATGTAATTGCATTTCACCCCAAATCCAAGAGGGGAGATTTTTTTAAATGGACACTAAAATAGTACAAAGCCTCGGATACCGATAGCTGCAACAAACATTAAACAGCTGAAACTCCTAGCCAAGTTTACCTCATTTCATATTTCCTGAGACCAGATGTTAGGGTGTGAACAGAAAAAAACTAAAGACATACCAAAACAACAAACAAAAACAGAACAAACAACAACAAAAACCCCACAATGTACAGCCTAAATAAACAGAGCAGCCGGACTTAGGTGTGTAGTCCCTAGATAATTTTATGTGTATGTTCTTCCAAACTGAAGAAATA